CTCTGAGTTTTTACTTAAGCCTCCAGAAATAAGTCCCCAGCTTTGGAAGGTCATTTTTACTTAGACAAACATGGATTGCTAGAGTACGGCTGTTGTTTTGGAGTGTAACAGCTTCAGAGAACTTTGATAAATCTTGTACCAATTATTTATATTTTGCTGCTCTGGAACCAAATTACTAACAAGACCAACAAATATGTCTGCCTGTTAAAAAAAACAGAGCCAAATTTGTCATTCCAAATCTATAAAGTCACTTATCAAATATTGCCATATAGATCCGATTGTGAAACAGTGATTTATAGTATTGTATATAAATACAGTCGAGAATTTCTTGTAGTTCAGTTTAAACACTGCTGTCAAAAAGTACTTCTCTCCATGCAGAGTTCTTTTTTTTTTTTGTCAAACTTAAATGATAAAATGTCTTGCATTTGAATACACTTCACACTACATTTAATTATTCACCCATTTTTACACACATTCACACACTGATGACGGTATATTACATTTCAGCTATGGCTTCTCTGGGGACAGATTAAGAAGGAGCTGTCACATCATCAGCACCACTGGGGCCTCCTTGTTCCACCGCCATCAGAAACTTGGGTGAAGTGTCTTGCCCAAGGACAAAACAGCTACTGAGCTGGGGGGTTTGAACCAGCAACCCCTCAGAAACAAAGGATTAAGCCTTGCACCTGACCCACTGTCATATCTACATTTTTCAAATGTAACATCGACTCATCTAAATATTAGACCAAGTTGATTGGAGCAAAATGATAATTCAATTTATCATTTATCATCCCTAGTTTAGGACCTAAACTAGGGATGACAGGATGTTCTAGTAGAAACAGGATGTTCTACAAAAAAATTTAAAAAATAAAAATAAAATCAGCCACATTTAAAAATCTGAAGTCAGCATTTTATGGAGCAAAGTTTAGGACCTAAACTAGGGACGATAAATGGCTCATTGACTTTTGAAATATAGCCGGGTGAAACTGACACCCCACACATGTGAAAAATTGGTTAGTGGTTAGTGATCTGTTAGTGCAAGTTTGTGCCGTTAAAATTATAGTTTGTGCTGCTTTGATTTATGAGATATTAAAAATTATTCTCAGGACATATTGAGGTCACCATCATCCCCCAATTTTGCTCCAAAACACACCAAAGTGGGCTATTTCTTTAGTGCTCTGTGAGTGCAGGTTTATGCTGTTAAAACTGTCATTTGTGGAGCTTTCTGTTATGAGATACATAGTTTTCTATTAGGGGATAACTGAATTCACCTAAATTGAAGACGTCTGTGGCCTGAGCTGGATATCAACACCACAAAGCAAGTAATGTCAATTAGTAATGTCATGTTATGTCATATGTCCAGAATGGGAACATTTAGTTTATATACTTCAGGAATTAGAATAAACTTAGAATCCAGAATTCATTATGATGTTTAATAAAATTTATTATCAAATCAGAAATGTTGTTCATACAATTTGAAACAATAATTTAAATTATTTTAAAGTGAAATAAGTTCTTATTTTCACTTGCCATTGTGAGTGAAAATAATATAGAAATGTGTGCTCTGTAGGTGACGGCAGTTTTTTCTTGTGCATTATAGTTATTTGGTCTAAGTTCCAGCATTAAGTTGAAACTGTCAATTGAAAATGTATGTACTTAATACCTGGAAAAACAATGTGTATACAATTTCTCTTTTGTTAAATCAACTTTATGAACTTTAATTTCTGAGTTAAAACCAATACAATTTTCTTACTGAATTAAATGGCATTTTGAAGGCAGTAGGCAGACTTAAATTTTCAAGCTAAACCACCTTCATATGTTTTACAGTGTGTTGAAAAAAGAGCAACAGCTGATTTTCATAGAAAGGCTGAAGAAGTATTCCAATAGTTGAGCTACTGGGGAAAAATCAACATAGCTATCACAGATGAGGCATATGAGCTATTTGCTAAATCTGTTTTCAGTGTAAGACATGGAGGATAGAATTTTTCTTTTAAAGCATAAGAAATATCTGATGAGAAATTAAATTGCACCTATTTCAAAATGGGATTCCTTTGAAAGACAACATGAGTAGTGTAAGGAGGACAGGTCTGGAATATGATACACCTACTCGACATGCAAGCTTATTTTTTTAACCCAAGTCAGGGTGTTCTTAACCAAGGTCAGAACGAAGCAGAAATTTCATGTTCTTCTTGTCAATAATTCACTTTATCTCCTGCAATCAGTTTTGACATTTACAACAGCCAGCTTTTTCCTGCATTGTGGATTTTGAGAGCGAGTTTTTTAGTGTTATGTTTAACCTTCTTCAACAACATGCTGGTCTCTTGTGAAGTTCTCCACTTATTAACTTCAATCATTTCAAATGATTAAAGAGCGACCTATGCACTGTTTTTTTGTTGTTTTTTTTATCACTTTAATATGCTCATCTCATTGTTTTTTGTCTCTAGTTTCAATCAATTGTACAATACAATATCAACCAGGCAATAAATAAATCAAGTTTATATGTTTAGCACATTGCATTACATCAGCAGTCCCCAACCCCCAGGCTGCGGCCCAGTACCGGTCCATGGACCAATTGGTACCAGGCCGCACAAGAAATAATTAAATATTTCCGTTCTATGTATTATTTGAGTCTGGAGGATCTTTCATATTGAAAATCCTTTAGCCGGATTCTCTTGGTTACGTCTTGCAAGCCGACACTGAGCTCACAAAAAGCAAAATGAGCAAGAAACAGATCAAATGTCTTTGGAAAGTTACTTTGCGGAGGGGAAAAGGCCCAGAGAAGAGACAGGAGAATAGATTTATCCCATGATTCCCACATTGCAAGCCCACACGGCAGGAGCAATACACCACACACCAACCGATTCCATAAACATCCCGAAGAAAATCCAGTAAAACCCCAACATACCACACGTGAATTTAGAATAATCAAACAGGATGACGATGTAGGAGCAGTAGTGATAGTTTGTGGACTCATTTTAAGCGATAAAATACGAAACAAAATGAATAAGCGTTTGATGAAAGGAGGAGCCGCTCTATTTGCTGCAGTATGATTTGGAGGTGAGTTATGTTATGAAAACCCCACAGACTGCAATAATCAGGCCAAGACAATATTGAATATGCCCGGTTTTAGATGATGCAATGCTTTAGCGGAAGCACCAACATATGCAGAAGCATAATTTGTCAGCACCCCCTCTCCCCACCAGGCCGCAGCAAAATTGACAAGTTTTGACTGGTCCCTGGAACAATTCGGGGCTGGGGACCACTGGTTTAGGCAGACCTGTGCAGATACTTTTGCAGTGATAAATGTGACTAAGATAAATGCATGAATGAGTTTTTCTAGATCTTGCTGAGACATTAGTCCTTTAACCTTGGAAACATTCTTCAGGTGATCAGGTGATAGAAGGCCAAATTTGTAATTGTCTTTATGTGGCTCTCAATGTTCTGGTGTGAGTCCATCACTACTCATAGATTTTGGGTCTGATCTCCAAGTTCTAGCTGTAATAACTGAAACTGTGTGCTGACTCTAGATCATTCCTTTAGGTCTAAAAATATTAGATTAAAGATTTCAAAGGACTCAATTTCAAAAGGCTTAATGAGATTAGTCACCGCTGTTTTGGCTGGACAGAGCTAATGCAGTCAGACATAGTAGGCGTCATTTATCCTGAATGCACTGCAGCGTAAATAACATGGCAACGTTTGTGACAATATTTTATTAAAGTTTATAAAAATGAAACAGCCTGCAATACTACTGCATTTGTTTTACATCTAAAATAAGAATTTCTCAAATAATATAATAAAATATTGTTACAGCTGATCATGGATCCCTGTAAGACAACAGTACTTTTACCTCAAAATTACTTTATGATGGATATAAACATTTACATGCTGCTTTGTACCTTACAAAATATACTGAAAATAAATATAAATGCTGCTTTCCTTTTTACTCTTTATGAAGGAAGCCGCAGCTGATGATTGGAGGAGATGAGGAGAAGACTGGCACCAATTGACCACAAAGGAGGAGCATGAAGAAATGATTGGCTGGGCAGGTGAGATGAAAAGTGTTCCCATTTGAATTTACACCTTCATTTGTTCTTTGGTTCCAAATAGGAAAGAAGTCAAATCATTATATGATTGCATATTTTAATGGGAAGGTTGGTATCTGTTCAAATGAACATAAGGTTTAGTTTGATTTTTAAAGTTAATTTGGGTTTCTGCAAACCTCTGATTGGTAAGGTTCAAGTCACATCTTGTTAACCAAAAGTGTACTGTCAGTACAACCAAAGATGGAGAGACATTTCCTGTGATTGCTTGTAAGACTGAATGAGGACCCTTCTTTCTTAACCAATTTTACACAGTGACCATATTAAACAGAGGGGAAATGGTTATATCCCATGTGGCAATTATTACTTCATTAAATATCTAAAAATGACTATAATAGTTTCTTTTGCATCTTAAAAGCTTTATAAAAACCACCAAGTAACTAATAAAAATTAATGTCATAAAAGTTCATCCATAAAATAGGTTTGTTTCTTTAAGGGTTAGTGTTTTTAGATTAGATTGAGTTGTTTTTCATTTATCTACTTTCTTTTTTTAACTTGATAAATAGATACAAATAACATACTGCTAGCCCAATTAGAAGTTCGAAATCAGTGAAATGCCAGGAGGTCCCTAGAAGCAGCAGTAATAAGAGCTGGGAGAGTGGAGCAATGACAAACACTGTCATCTCTAAAAACAAGGAAACATTCGTTTCATTATTTGTTTGTTATTGTTTCACACTGTATCTTTCTTTTGATGAGAATTCAGATAAATATTAATAATGATATATTCTTCTCATTAGTGTGACTTTCCGCCCCATTGTGTCCGAGGGCGCACCCCGTGGAAAGGCCACGATACTTCAGCGGTGCTCCGTATCAGCGTGACCGTCCCACCGCCACCCGCAGGGGCTGCTCTCTCAAGTTCACCGACCACTAGCTGTCTGTTCGGGAAGTTTGGATCAGGCTTTGCCTTTGTGGGAGATTCCACAGCTAGAAGACTTGTGCTTCGGATAGACACGCCAACTTGAGGTCTACTTTATGGCCTTTGTTTTGGATATGTAAGTGGATGTTTAAGTAGTTTTATACGTTTTGTTTCTCCATGAAATTTATATGGGATGCGCCCAACCAAGATGGAAACGGCTTGTCTGCCGGTCGGACGATAAATAAGAATTTCTTCCACTCGGTGTAGACTTTTCTGATTTACCCGGTGGAGACGGTTTGTCTGTCATAGTGGATGTTGTCGAACTGGGTCAATCCCTTTCCGAAGGTGGCAGCCATATAATGAACATTTTCCCACTGGAGTTTCAGTAAACTTTTTCTAATTATTTTTTCCCACGGACTCGCGATGTCGAGAGTGGTCCGCACCCTGAGCCGCTGCCTGCTCCCCGCCGAGGCCACCCGAGAGCCGGGCGCGAGCAAGCAGGGCAGCCGAGAGAGGGACGCAGTGCAAGAGCGAGAGGCGAGGCGCCGGAGCCGGGAGATAGATGCCATGCTCGCTCGGGAGAGGAGAGCCGTCCGGCGGCTGGTGAAGATCCTCCTCCTCGGGGCCGGAGAAAGCGGAAAGTCCACATTCCTGAAACAGATGCGCATCATTAACGGGCAGGAGTTTGATAAGAAAGCGCTGCTGGATTTCCGGGACACTATATATGAGAATATATTAAAGGTAAGGATCATTCACTGCTCTTTCATGACTGATATTTAAACTTGCAAGCGTTGTCTAACTAAATAGACATTTTGACTATTTATCACAGCCAAAAGGTTTTTTTTTTCTTTATTAGAAAGAAAACTTTACACAAAACATGGCTAATAGCTCATCAGTGAACTCTGCCACTTGCAGTTGATCATTAACTGTAAGCAGTCTGAAAATGTATTGAAAACCAAAATGATAGAATCACATTAATAAACTTAATTCCTCTTCCTATATCATATAGACAATCTATTGTTTAACACACATGTTAACTAATTTGTCCTTTGGTCAGAATGAGAAGGACAAACTAATCATCCGTTTATGGACCCTATCCAAACATTTGTCTGGGTGTCGTCCACCCATCCATCTTACACTTCTATTTTTTTTTTTTTTTTAGCAGGCATACCTATTAAAATGTTGATTCCAAAATCTTGAGATCTCCAAATTTGTGTCTGGAAAAGACTGACATTTTAACATGAAACAGAAAGATGTACAATTTTTTGTTGTTGTTTTTTTTTTTTACTCATGAAACTGAAACCATTAGCTCTCAGATATGCATAAATAATGGTATGGACTTCATCACTGGTAGACTGAATCATCATAAAAAGGAATTTTATGTAAATGAACTTGAGAAACTCTCACCATTGTTGACATTGTGCATATTTTTATCTTTATGTCTGTGTGTAATGTTCCTTTGTTTGCTGTCATGGCTGGGCCTCCTTCACCAGCTAACAATACCAGACTATTCCTGAGGGATGAGCACATCCGCCCCGAGTGCCACACAGCCCAGACAAGTCAGATAAAATCCTGGACTCCAAACAATGTTTACAAGCCTCCCACAAATGCAGGCATACAGCCACATTCTAAGCTCAAACATATTCAAACTTAACCACTGCTTAATGTAAGCCACACACATTATCTGCTCATTTCAACAGAATTAGCTTGTAACAGAATGAACAGATTTGTAGATAAAAGTTAATTGCAAATAGAGGATGTTGGAAGTTACACTCAAAGTGCTAATAAGGAAAACAAAACAAGAAAACGCTTGCTTTGTTTTCTTGCTAAACAAAGCAAGTCTTTCCCAGGTAAATATTAACCTGTTCATGACTGTATGTTGCTCAGAAGCGTACATATTAGATCTCGAGATGCACAGATCCAATATTAACATCTAGATTAGTCCGGACAGCGGACCAGGAGAGTTAACTGTTTAACTCTCCTGGTCTAGCATGATGCTGAGGAAGAGCATAGGAGATGTCACAATCTGTCAGTGGTCCCAGTGGTCCCCCCATCAAACCCCCCCACACACACACACAAAAACTTATGAAAACGAACATGTGCATAAGCAGAATAAAAACTCAGTTGGGGTCAATGCGACCCCTCTCAGGACTGCATAAGGGTTAAAAGTCCAGGTATTCATTGTTAGCTAGCTTCACAGCATAGTCATATTGAGCTCACAGAACTAGCTCCAACCTGCCAAATAAACAAAAGTAAACTGACTGATAACATTCAGGTTCAGGATATACCCACGCCCATAGACGCCTAACCCTACCCACATCTATAGATGTGGGTATGTACACTAAAGACCATTTTTATGTTTTCCCAAAAACATCTTTTTTTTTTTTCTGAGGAAAATCTCAAATTTCTCACAGTATGTACTACCATACAGTTGCATTTGCTCTTGGGTCCTGACATTGAAATATTTTTTAGATCAGGTATTGGTGACAATGTGCCCAATAGGGCTGTAACAATTCCTCGAATGATTCAAGTACCTCGATTATTAAAATTCCTAATTGTAAAATTTATCTGCCTCAAAGCTTTGTTAAATTATGTTTATTATTTAGTACACCATGTTCTGACTGAGTCATTATTTGTGTTGGGTAATGCTCTCACTTCCCCCTATGAATTGTTGCTAAGTGCCAAGTGCTAGCAGCATATGGTTCAATTTTTAAGTTTGTGTGGGAGGACATAGAATGAACACTGCATGCGACTGCGTTGTAGTTTTTCCTTAACATAAGTGTAGCTTTATGGATGAACTGGAAAATAAATGTCATATCATCCTGATCTGAACAAATGGGTGGGGGAGTGCATCATGGCAGTACGTAGCTGGTAGATGTTTTTGTGTGTGTGATGAATGAATCCCGTCGACATCATGGATGCAAAAGCTATAAATGGCTGGACAATGTAAGGGTACATCTATTAAATTGAAGATGAATACGTAAACTAAAAGCTGGAATATAAGCAATTTTTATAATCATATTTGTGAGGATGCCTCTTTTTTATTAAATTGAATATAATTTCAGATTTTTGTATACATTTTCTTCAGGTTAACTTAGAAAGTGAGCTGTTATTGTTACATGTTAATTTTCTAAACTACAGAAAAGTTATTGTTAGCAAAGCTCAAATATAAAAATTTTAACTGGTGTTGATATTCAATAGTAATATTGAATATCAATATTCAATATTTATTTAACATTTAGGTTAGTTTTATTTTACGTTAGTTTTATTTTATCCCAAACAATTTTGTCCGATTACTTGAATAATTAATATAATACTTGATTACTAAAATATTTGTGTACAGCAGCATAGTGCCCGATCAATAAAGGCAGATCAGATTAAGTTTTTCTGTTCTTTTTTATGTTAAAACAATGTAAAGCATATACATATACATACCTTATATTTCTGCATATACTAACCATAATTGGAGTCTAAAATTAATTTAAATATCATGAAATGTTAATTTTTAAAAATGAAATTTAACACTCGACATAACTTCAACTCCTGCCATGTAGTTGGCCATTTCAACAGTTGCCAAGGGAAAACCTAGAGTTGATCATTATGCCAGGCTTTATTGGCTATTTACAAGCTTCTATTTTGGCTTTGGGCAATAGGTTTCAAGTTTTAAGTAAGTACATGACTCATTAACATTTTCAACACATCTCTCAACCCATTGCCAGTAACTGGCCTTTGAAAAAAAGATGCTTTGGAGATAACAACATCCACCTTTTCTTTTCATCCATTGGTGAAAAGAAAACACCAGGAGTATTTATATTACTACTTATACTACTTATTCATGTCTAAAGAAGAAAGGTTCTCGGGGTGAGTTACATAGCATTTATTGTTTTTAGAACACTAATGATATGTTATACTCCTAATTGTGCTGACTGATGTGAAAAGTTGTTTTTACATGTTTGACCAAGCTTGTGAAGCTATTTGTGTATTTTAGTGTTCTTTACTGGTGCAAAGTTATGAAATAAGTTTATAATTCTGTGCATTTCTGTTTTTAAAAAAGAAACATTTTTGATTCGCTCTAGAGATTACTGGTTACTTTTATATATGGACCAGCCTGTCATGGCCGGTACAATCCCACACCGATATTCTCACAGATGCCTTTTTTTTTCTTAGCTCTCCTGATAAAAACCTAGATGGTCCAGGATTTAAATTTACATTCCTTAGACCAAATAGATCATTCCAGCTGACATTTTACTATGTTAAATGAGCTCAGACCTACAGGAACCAGTTGAGCTTTTTGATATTGTCTCTTTGTATTTATAGGTGCATTTAGAAACTTTGGTCTCCTACACTTTTTCACAGGAGTGATCCAGAGACTATATGCAGTGATTATTACTACACAGTCCCCTAGACCTATTTTTAATCCAGTGGTCCCTAAGGTCCTGAAGATGGTTCAGCTTAATGGTTTTTCAGCATGCATATAAAAACTCATGCAGATATTTGATATTGATGATTAAGCCATAAATATATATTTTTATATTTTTTCTTGAAAAAACATTTGTCCTAAATGTTCTTTCTTGGAGATGTGATTTATCCTCTTTTTAATTTCCATCATAATTTGAAAACTGCTTTTTTACTTCTGTACTCAAGTTATTTGTCTGGTATTACAATTAGTGTCAAGACCTGAACTATTTATGTGTGACTAATTGTAGACAATAAATCAAAAACAATATACATCTAATTGATTTATACACAGTTCCCATAAGTCTGAAGAAATGATCAAGACCAACTTACTAAGCAAGCTCTTGCCTGATTACTGTAGGACCAACTATTTTAGTCTGGGTGATTTGTGTAAGAGAGATATATATACACCCTTATGTCAAAATGTAATTGATGAAGTGATTGATGATCCTAATTATGAATTGCTTTTAATTTCCGGTGACAGGATGTGCCCCTCCCCACCCCCCACCCCCACCCCCCCTTAGACAAACATTCCATAGGCATAACTCACCAAGTGTTTTACACTCTGTTTTGGTAAACGCTAGCAGACGCATTTACTCACCAAGTATATGACACACTTTGTTTTTTGGGTAAAACTACTTCCAGTCTCTCTGGAGTTTGGATGGATGCAATAAAACATCCTCTCCACAACAGCCACAAAGAGGAGGGGTGACAGTAGTGGTGCTCGGTGTAGCAACTTTTACTGACATGTATCACACTAGCAAGTGTTTCAGAAAAAAAATATATATATGCATTTGAGCTATATTTAAACCAACCTTTTCTTATTTGGAGAAAGCATGAAGCTCTGGGAAGATCAATGTTGATTCAGCAGCAGGAAAAAAAACTGAACAAAAGTAGCATTCATAATGATCTGAGGACAAATTCTGGAAAGGGAGTGATGTTAAAAGTTGTCTTTCACTTTAACTCCTGTCACCGGAAATGAAAAGCAATTTATGATTAGGGTCATCAATCACTCCATCGATTCCATTTTGACATAAGGGTGTATATATATATATCGGAAGGTATTACAAGCATGCAACTTTGCACAAATGTTCTTCCTAACGAGGTAAAGCCAAAGAAAATTACAACTGCCTTAGCAGTTGTCCTGGTAGCTTAGCAGCTGCCAGAAAACCATTTTATTAACTGATTTCATGAAATGTTTGCACTCATATTTTGTAGTAGAATAAGTTTTATCACCCTGAACACTATTTTAAAGTACTGGCCCTTTGAAACTATGTCACTTAATT